GAAGATGTTCACATCCTGGACAGAGAGGAACGATGGTTTGAGAGAGGAGTAAAGGAGGCCATCTTTGTGAAAAGAAACCGTCCATCATTAAACAGGGGTGGAGGCCTCCGGGTTCAACTGTCCCCCTCTTACAATGCTGTGATTGCTAGTATCACTCAGCCCTCTGTGAACAGTAAACAGCCATCAGGTGCTAATGATCCATTGTTAGGCTGATGGTCCTTCTTGAGCATGTGATAGCTGGTTCTGGTTGTCAGCAGCAAAACTGGTTGATCCACTCTGAGATGGTGCTATTTAAGAGACTGAGCTGAATACAGCACCTCAGACTGAGGAAGTCTCTTGGATGAGAGACGAAACGTTTCTAGATTTTTTTGCTTTGTTTTTTGTTTTTTTGAATGTCCAGAGGACCAGATTGAACTTTGTTGGATTTTTCTACCTGGATTATTGAGCATGCATCAGGATATACAGTAATAAGGTTGGTGGTGTTTTGTTAAGAGGTGGGACACAATCTTATTTATATTAAAGCTGACATGGAGCCCAGACACAAAGTAGGATGCAGGTTTTCCCCCGTCGGCCGTTTGTCAACAAAGCAAAATGAGCTCACATACAGAGTTTTGGGTGGTCTCTTCAATTCACATTTTTCAGCCACATTCTTCTTAATTCCTCATCCATAGGAAGGAGATTAAACTAAACCTCTTTCACAGGAACACTCTTTGTTTTTGGGTCCGTGTTCAAACTCTGTTGTTTTAGCCACTGATTTAGTTTGGTCTGGTTGTTCTGCAGCCCTGAACGCAACAGGTACCTGAACTCACCACGGCTATTTTAGTAAACGTTATGGTTGTTAAATAAATGTAAACAAAACAAAAACAGAGTTTTATCTGCTAAACTGAATGTAAATTACTTTCAAATAAACTGCAGTCTGTGCTCTGCTACCATGGTCAGCCAGTGCTTACTGCTACTTCCTGTCTGACAGGAAGTTGTACCAGAATCATTGACAGTAGAGCCCCAGGACTATAAGGTGGATCCACTCATGGTTGCTGTGTTCACAGGGTGCCGTTCAGATCATCTTCAGAGGAAAAGAAAATCAGGCAGAGGCAGAGGCTGAATATGTGGAAACGTTTGCCAACCCTTTCCCAGCTGCTGTCAGAGGTAAACCAAAGGGCCACCATTTGCTTGTGTTTAATCTTAAGTTATGAGTTTAATCTGCATCCTTCCAAACCACTTAGGTTTTGTTGACGACATCATTGAGCCGGCCACAACTCGAAAAAAGATCTGCAATGATCTGGAAATGCTGGCCAGCAAGAAACAGGTCAATCCGTGGAAGAAGCATGCCAACGTTCCTCTGTGACACCAAACCGCCCCGTCTGCGTATTACCAGGAAGTTGACCTGCTGGTCACCACTCCACTGACCGCAGCAACAACACATCATTATTTCCTGGACTTTTTTTAAAGCAGATTTTTGGACTTAAAATGAATTGTTGCCCCAATTGCAAAATCAGGATATCTTTATCAAAGTATGTTTTAAATCACAATAAGCAAAATAATCTTGTAGCCAGATGTCTTTTTAGATTGTGATGTCAGCAGTGGCCATATTGGCCATTATTGTTGATTACAGTATAGAAGATTAAAGTACCGGATCATTTCAGCATCAAATGAAAACATACTGAAGTTTCTTGTCCTGTACACGGTTTAGAAAGGTGGACTATTGAGGGGTTTTTTCAGTGCTTTCAAATCCACTCGGTATCTGAAACTGCCTTTTCTGCCATCTGTAAATAAACAGTTAAATTAGTATTGTGTGGTTTACTTTTATATTGTATTTTTATTTGAGGTCTTGTTGTGGCTAGAATACCACGTCGTGTTCAAAACGGCTGAGGCGTCGCCCTTCGTATAAAAGATTTATTTGACACAACATGGGTTACAGATATTCAGAGACAAACAATTACATTAATAAGATATATGCATATAAATGGAGCATTAAGAACGAACCGCCGCCGTGTGCGCCTCCCGGAAATGCTCGGTGGGCGTGTGTCATTTCCGGCCTTTTATCCCCGTTTGAGAAGGCTAGCTTCCTGATTGGTTCAGCTCCTGTCGCTATGGTTACGACTCTTAGCCCGCCCCCTCAAGAACGTTAACGTCTATATTTCAGATAAGTTTTGGTACACCGAAATCGGCTTTTGTTTAAAGTTTAACTTGCTATTATACTTTTAGGGATACAAAATGATTTGTGTCTAAATTGTTTATACGTAATAATTAATAACTATTAATTATTACCTACCTCATGGGTGTTAATTCAATATCTGTTGAAGGCCTGATGATTCTGTTTTTTAAGGCAGATTCATCTTAGTTTCCTTGTCTGCGTTTAAACTGTTAACACTGTTTGTTTAACGTGATTATACCTTAGTGATACCAACTGATTAGAAATCAAGTTGTTTATTTCTAGGAATAATTAATAACTTAATTATTATTATCTAACTCATGTTTGTGTTTTTTATTTGGATCATTTTTATACTTTTAATTTGATTTTACTTAGTCAAACTATATTGTCTAAATTAAAGAGATGTGTTCTAGCTTTATTTATGTTAATCAGTCTGCTCTAATCTGTTCTGAAAGGTTCTGAAAGGCCTGATTTGATTGCTTGTAATCTATCAAATGTGAACTTGTAAAATTATCCTTAGCTCCTATGAGATTATATTTAAAGGTCAACTAGTTAGAATTAGCAAACATTTTCTATAAACATAGTTCAACCCTGGAAGAAAGACACGCACACACTTTATATGACATGACATTTGAATGCTTGATAGGAATTATAAAAAGGTATAAAATATTAAATCCAACAGTCTTCTTGGTGTTTTGAGAGGATTTGATAAGTTATTCCTAAAAAAATTAAATTAAGTTGGACTTTGTGTGTATGCTTGAGTTCCAGGCTGGGACGCTGTTAAGAGTTACAGTAAAAATGAGCGGAGTGTGATGTCAAACCCCCCCACACACATACCTGAGGGATTTGAATAATGAATGTTTCTAGTTTTTGACATGAGCTTGTCTGGAACAGAAACAAGTTCACCTTAATGGTTTTGGTGCAAGATATTCAAGTGGGTAAAAGTTCTGCTGTGTAGACGGTGTGACGTTGCACGTTCGTGGTGAGACGTATTGCGTCACTTCCTGTGTCCAGCAATCACTGTGTGAGGGGCGGGGGACACCCTGGACGGGTCACAAGTCCATCACAGGGACACATAGAGACAAACGAGACAAACAACCATTCACTCTCTCTCTCTCACCTAGGGACAATTTAGAGTTACCAATCAGCCTAACATGCATGTTTTTGGTCTGTGGGAGGAAACCGGAGTACCTGGAGAAAACCCACACCTGCACGGAGAGAACATGCAAACTCCACCCAGTAGGCCCCTGGACCGGGGTTTGAACCAGGGACCTGCTCGCTGAGAGGCAGCAGCTCTACCAGTTGCACCACCGTGCTGCACGGTGGCGCAGCTGATATTTGATGCATATCTGTTGATAATGAACCAAAGCTGCTGAAACAGTGAGTTTGCTTGTTAGCAAAATATTCCTGTCATCAGATCTCAGCTTCATTGCAGCTGAACACCGTGTTACACTGAACATCACATCAGCTGGTGGACATAAATACAGTACAGTAATATTATATTCACAAAATACTAACAATAATATGTTCATGTTACTGTGAAAAGTTATCCCCCGAGACCTGACGTCAACAGTCCGTCGATCTGAACAGAAATAAGCTGCGAAGTGCTGAGACATCTTCTGCTCTAACCAAATAAGGACGACCGCTCCAAGATGGCGGCCGAAATTCCTGCGCCGCAGCAGCCGATGAGGGATCTAGTGTTTATATGATATCTATGCCAGCGATGACATGTCGTGGTTTAACCGATGGGTGTCCAGGTGGTGTTCTGACAACGATGTGGTCTACATAGATAACTGGAGTTCTTTCTGGGGAAAACCTGGTCTGATGCGGAGAGATGGCATCCATCCCACTTTGGATGGAGCCGCTCTTCTTTCTAGAAATATGGCTGATTTTGTTTATTCCCCAAATTATTGACAACCCAGGGTCCAGTCCATGAAGCAGAGGTGTAGTCCTCCACCCCTCTCTGCTGCTTCCCCTCTGTTACCCACCCACACCCCCATTGAAACAGTGTCAACTCGCCCACGGCTCAAATTAAATAAACCAAAAATCTGCTCTAAAAATATAAACCATAAAAATCTGATTAAAATAAACACAGTTACTTTACCAGAGCAAAATCATCAAATCATTAAATGTGGATTATTGAACATCAGATCTGTTTCCTCTAAATCCCTGTTAGTTAATGAACTGATAACTGATCATCATATTGATTTATTGTGTCTGACAGAAACTTGGCTACAACAGGAGGATTTTGTTCGTATAAATGAATCCACTCCTGTTAATTATTTAAATTTCCATGTTCCTAGAACAACTGGCCGAGGTGGAGGAGTAGCTTCTATTTTTCAGTCAGGATTATTGATTAATGACAAACCAGTTATTAGTTATGATTCTTTTGAATCACTGTCCCTCAGTCTTTCTCATCCAAAATGGAAATCAGAAAAGCCACTTTTACTAGTTGTTATATATCGTCCACCAGGAGCTTACTCTCAGTTTTTGTCTGAATTCTCAGAATTATTAACTGACTTATTATTAAATACTGATAAAATCATCATAATGGGTGATTTCAATGTTCATGTGGATGTTGAGAGTGATAGCTTAAGCATAGACTTTAATAATTTAATAGAGTCATTTGGTTTTATCCAAAACGTCTGCACATCTACTCATTCTTATCATCACACTCTTGATTTAGAAAGCCCTCAACAACCTAGCTCCATCTTATAGTACAGATCTTATTGTTCCATATTTTCCTAACAGAGCGCTTCTCTCTCAAACTGCAGGTTTACTTGTGGTTCCTAGAATTTACAAAAACAGAATGGGAGGCAGATCTTTCAGTTTTCAGGCTCCTCTCTTGTGGAACTAACTTCCAATCTCTGTCCGTGAGGCTGACACATTGTCCAGTTTTAAAACTGAGTTTAAGACTTTCCTTTTTGCTAAATCCTATAGTTAGGGTCGGCTTGGGTTTCCTGAGCTGTCCCTTGGTTATGCTGCTATAGGCTTAGACTGCTGGAGGACAAACTGACCACAATTTTCACTCTGCTACTGTCTTTACTTACTCTGCTCAACCTGTTTTGTATTTGTAATTATTTTTTCTATCCTTAACATGTGTTTTTTGTCTTTCAGATACACCTGGACCTATATCTGGACCTGGACCTATATCTGGACCTGGACCTACATCTGAACCTACCATTCTGTGTTCGTCTGTCTCTCCTCCCTGTCCTCTCAACCAGCAGGTCAAAGCAGATGGTCTCTTGTCCTGAGCTGGTTCTGATGGAGGTTTGTTCCTGTTAAAGGGAGTTTTTCTTTCCACTGTCTCCACTGTGCTTGCTCAGGATGGGAGACTGCAACGAAGCAAAGATTCAACTTGACTGCTGGATTCCTTAGATAGAGAACTTTACTAATTGGCTTTTATGTGAATGTTCCTGTAAAGTGCCCTGAGACAACTTTGTTGTGATTTGGTGCTTTATAAATAAACTGAATTGAATAGAATTTAGTTCTGACCTATGGTATAGAGATTAAGGACTTGGCAATAGTTCCTCAAAATCCTGTTCTGTCCGACCATTTTTTAATAACTTTGAGTTTACATTAAATGGCTACACAGTCACTGAGAGTAAATTTCATCTCAGCAGGTGCTTATCAGAAAATGCTGTAACCAAATTGAATCAATCTCTTCCATCAATGTTTCCTCTGTCTTGCAGAGTAATGCATCAGAGAACAGAGACTTAGATCATCTAGTTGATCATCTTACAACTTCAATGCAAACTTCACTTGATAAAATTGCTCCACTGAAAAAGAAAGTAATCAATCAGAGGAAACTGGCTCCTTGGTTCAATTCTGAGTTACGTACTTTAAAGCAGCATCTAGAAACCAGGAGAGAAAATGGCGCTCTACTAATGTTGAAGAATTTTATTTAACTTGGAAAGCTTGTCTGCTAACATATAAAAAAGCTCTCCGTAAAGCTAGAACTTTATATTACTCATCTTTAATAGAGGAGAATAAAAATAACCCTAGGTTTCTGTTTAGTACTATTGCTAGACTAATTAAAAGTCCCATTTCTGTTGAACCATGTATCCCTACAACTATAAGTAGTGATGACTTCATGAGATTCTTTATAAATAAAATTATTTCAATTAGAGAGAAAATTCAAACCATCCTTCCTTCTACTATCTCTAGTCCCCTGTCAAATGAGGCAACTTTAAAAATTTCACTAGAGCCTGATTTATGTTTGGACAGTTTTTGTCCTGTTGAGCTCTGAATTGTCAAAAATAATAACCTCATCCAAACCATCCACATGTCTGCTAGATCCCATCCCAACCAGACTGTTTAAAGAGGTATTCCCCCTAATTAATGGGGCAGCTGTGGCTGAGTGGTTAGAGCAGTCGTCCTCCAATGCAAGAGTTGGGGGTTCTAAGCAGTCACAGCAGTCACATGCCGAAGTGTCCCTGGGCAAGAAACTGAACCCCTCATTGCCTCTGATGTGTGTCTCATCAGTGTATGAATGTGATAAAGCTCTGACTAGTCTCTTTAGAATGATTTGGTCAATTAGCTTTGTAGAGATCTAGTATAGAGCTGTATGAATGGGTAAATGAGGCACAGATTGTAGCGTAAAGCGCTTTGAGTATCTTAATAATATAGAAAGGCGCTATATAAGTACAGTCTATTTACCATTCCATTCAATTAATGTCCACATTTTGGATCTACTTAATTTGTCTTTAATGGATGGTTATGTACCACAGAGCTTTAAGATTGCTGTAATTAAACCTTTACTTAAGAAGTCTGACCTTGATTCAGAAATTCTGTCCAACTATAGACCTATATCTAATCTAACTTTTATCTCAAAAATTCTAGAGAAAATAGTTGCAGGTCAGTTGCGTGAACATCTACAAAGAAATAATCTGAAGAGTTTCATTCAGGGTTTAGAGCTCATCATAGCACAGAAACAGCACTAGTAAAAGTCACTAATGATATTCTCATGGCCTCAGACAATGGACTTGTGTCTCTACTGGTCCTGTTAGACCTCAGTGCTGCATTTGATACAGTTGATCACAATATTTTACTACAGAGGCTTGAATATGATATTGGGATTACAGGAACGGCTCTAAAGTGGTTTAAATCATATCTATCTGATAGATTCCAGTTTGTAAATGTAAATAGACTGTACTTGTATAGCGCCTTTCTATCTTATCGAGAAACTCAAAGCGCTTTACATTACAATCTGTGTCCTCATTTACCCATTCATACTGCACTCTACTAGATCTCTACAAAGCTAATGGAACAAATCATTCTAAAGAGACTAATCAGTGCTTTATCACATTCATACACCAATGGGACACACATCGGAGGCAACAAAGGGTTTAGTGTCTTGCCCAGGGACACTTCGGCATGTAACTGCTGGTGGATTCGAACCTCCAACTCTTGCATTGGAGGACGACTGCTCTAACCACTCAGCCACAGCCGCCCGTAAAATGTAAATAATAAATATTCTTCATACACCAAAGTTAGTCATGGAGTTCCTCAGGGCTCAGTGCTTGGGCCAATACTCTTTACTTTATATATGCTTCCATTAGGTAAAGTTATTAAACAGCATGGGATAAATTTTCATTGTTATGCTGATGACACACAATTATATTTGTCCATTAAACCCAATGAATCATATCAGCTACTTAGACTACAAGCATGTCTAAAAGACATAAAAAACCTGGATGACCCTTAATTTTCTCCTGTTGAACACAGACAAGACTGAGGTTTTGGTTTTTGGACCTGAGCACCTTAGATGCAAGATGGCCACGCTCAGAGCAGTTGCAGTTTCACAGGTTCCCGGTACCATCCCAGTTTTTAGAAGTTTTGATATTGACTCTGTGCCTGACCGCGCAATTTATGCGTGTGAACTATAGCCGAACCGAACTGATGAGTATAGGAGTGGATTTGCCTCGAAATATAGCAGAAATCCGCAACAAACTCAAAACTACGCTCGGTAGAATGCAGATCTTAAAGTCA